AAAGAAAAAGCATGTGATCAGAGACATATTAGGTTGGAAGAGAGGTTGGATACTTTATTGGTCTACACTTCCTTCTCTGAGATGGGACCAAGTGCATTTAGACTGTTTATGTGCTCTCCAGTAAAGGCCTTTTAAGTTATAGGGAATTTTAATATGCCAAATAATAGGGCTGTGCAAAATGGCTATACTTTGTTTTGGTTTGGATTCGGCCTTTTTGGAGGACAGCGATTCATTTTGGTGTTTTGGATCACTGTTCAGTTTTGATTTGGCCAAATCTGTTCTGGAATTTCAATGCCATTTCGGAGATTCAGACCAGTCGGGGAGAGGCAGGCACAGCAGGGTGGATCGGAAGTGCTCATGCTGGGCACCCCCACCCCACCGTGTTCCCATGGGATGCTCCGTCCACCCCACCAGCTCAGCCTTCACAACCTGCCTTGTACCTTGAGGTACATAGAAAAAATATTTAAAGCTGTGTCTATGTGTGAATCATCAAATCTCTCCAAATTGATGGCCCCATCCCCCACCTAGCCCCCTGCCTCCCAGCACTTTAAAAAAAAGAAGAGGGCTACCAGGCTTTGCTATTCCCGGGGGCACCCCCAAAACATTCTGCAACATCCTACATTTCCAAAACATTTTGGATGGTTTTGTTTCATTTTGGAGCCAGTGTTTCAGGCCCCAAAATGGGCCCAAACACCTCTGAAACAAAATGGCTGCCAAAATGTTGTACAGCCCTACAAATAATAGGCTTCTCCATGCAGACCTTGAAAGGAATCAGTAAGCTTCATTCACCCTGCTTAGTGCAAAGGGGAAGTGTGGAGCTCCTCTGACGGGCCAGGCTCTGAGAGTTCTTCTCACAGCTAAATATACAGGCAGAATGCAATGAAATGAATGGTCCTTGAAAGGACAGTGGGGATCTCTAGGACTCATTAGGCTTACAAATCATTTGAAACACCTGGCCTCAATATGAAGAGTATGTGAAAAGTATGAGATATCAGCAGGGTAGGGAGGGAAAGGGAAAAAAAAAGACAGTTGTTCTTTTGTTCAATCCCATATAACAGAGTTAGTGATTGCAACAGAGTTTTATTTTGGTAGGATCTTGTACATGTTCCTATGCCTCAATGTTGATGGCAATACGGGAATGAATAGAAGCTAGGAAGCAGGCAGGCAATGGCAAAAGCACACCAACTTTCATCCGTGGCTGGGAATGAAACAGAAAACCCATGTGGTTTATTGGTGTGTGACCGCAGCTGCAGATGAAAGGAAAAAGGCAGAATCCAATGTCAAAGATCTCGACTGCCATCATGTGCACATTCATGTACATGACAACTTTTACCTCCATCCACTGTCTCTAATAGCACCTGACAATCACAGAAAGGATGTGGACAAAGCGAAGACAGTCCAACGGAGGGCAATGAAAATGGTTCAGGGGATGGGGCACATTACTTCTGAGGAGAGGCTGAGGCAACTGGGCTTATTTCATCTGGAGAAGAGAAGACTGAGGGGATTTAAAAGCAGCCTTCAGGTACGTGAAAGGTGGTTTCGAAGAGGAGGGAGCTGGACTGTTCTCAGTGGTGGCAGATGACCAAACAGGGAGCAATGGTCTCAAATTGCAGCAAGAGAAGTTTAGGTGAGATATGAGGAAAACTTTCACTAGGAGGACAGTAAAACATTGGAACGGCCTACCTGGGGTGGTTCTGGTATTTCCATCCTTGGGGGATTTTCAAGACCTGGCTAGAAAAGCCTTTGTCACGGCGGGGTCCTTCAGGAGGGCCGTGATCTCCCTACGGCCCCCTCACCGTGCCAAGTCGGCCCAAGGGCACCCTCAAATTCTCGCCCGCCACGTCTTTGATGGTAAGATAAAGTTGGGAGGCTGCCTTACGACCCCCTGGGCACGGTTAGCTGGACCTCTGTCCCCGTGTGTTCCCGGACCCCCTGGGGGTCTCCCAGTATGATGGGTGCTCCCCGGCACCCTAGCCTTATGGGCTACGCGTGGCTCCTACCAACCCCATATACCATGCCTCAAGCCTCGCTGATGGGATACACGCTGGTATGTCTCTCTATGTGTACACAGCCCGTCTCTCGGGCCTCCTCTATGTACTCTCGCCCCGCTCTCTGGGGCCTCCTCTTCTGTGCTGTCCTCTCTTGGGCTCTCCGAGCCCACTCGGGGCCTCCCTGTGACGTTGCCCCTCTCTGGGGCCTTCTCTGTAGTGTCGCCCCCTGTCTGGGGCCTTTACGCTAGTGCCCCCTCCTGGGGCTTTCCCGGTAATGTCGCCCGAACTCGGGCTTCTAAAATACAGCCCCCCGTCTGGGGCTCTCTGCGCCCACTCTGGGGACTTCTCAGTGACGCCCCCTGACTCTCAGGCCCACCACACTGCTGCCCCCTTCTCCCAGGGCTCACCGCGCCACTACCCCCTCTCGCCGGGGGCAACCGCAGCACTCCACCCTGCTCCGGGGTTTTCCGCAGCACTAGCCCTTCTTCAGAGGCTCACTGCGCCCGCACTGGGCTTCCTAATAATATTGCCCCCTCTCTGGGGCTCGTCGTGCCTGCGCTGGGGCTTCTCAAAGCCGCCCCTCTCTGGGGCTGTGGTCTACGCGCCCTGCAAGCTGCGCCCTCACTGTCGCCGGGGTTCCCATACCACTGGGGTTCCCCGCTTTAAGGGGATACTGCACCCTGACTGGCGCTAGGGCCCCCACACCACCATGGGGCCCTTTATGATGCCTTCTCCAACCTCTATAGCCTCACCCAAACCACCGGTGTAATAATCAGAAGCAAACATAAACTTGAGCCTCCTGGCTATAACTCAACTCAAAGCCGTCTGGCTAAACCCTGGTGCTCAAACCTCTCAGAGCTGCCATCC